ACTGCATGCAGCCTAAGTCCCACGACTGCATGCAGCCTAAGTCCCACGACTGTATGTAGCCTAGGTCCCATGACTGTATGTAACCTAGGTCCCACGACTGCATGTAGCCTAGGTCCCACGACTGTATGTAGCCTAGGTCCCATGACTGTATGTAGCCTAGGTCCCACGACTGTATGCAGCCTAGGTCCCACAACTGTATGCAGCCTAGGTCCCACGACTGGATGCAGCCTAGGTCCCACGACTGCATGCAGCCTAGGTCTCATGATTGTATGTAGCCTAGGTCCCATGATTGTATGTAGCATAGGTCCCATGATTGTATGTAGCCTAGGTCCCACGACTGTATGTAGCCTAGGTCCCATGAATGTATGTAGCCTAGGTCCCATGACTGTATGCAGCCTAGGTCCCACGACTGTATGTAGCCTAGGTCCCATGACTGTATGCAGCCTAGGTCCCATGACTGCATGTAGCCTAGGTCCCATGACTGTATGTAGCCTAGGTCCCATGACTGCATGTAGCCTAGGTCCCATGACTGCATGTAGCCTAGGTCCCATGACTGTATGTAGCGTAGGTCCCACAACTGTATGTAGAGTAGGTCCCATGGCTGTATGTAGCGTAGGTCCCACAACTGTATGTAGCGTAGGTCCTACGACTGTATGTAGCGTAGGTCCCACGACTGTATGTAGCGTAGGTCCCACGACTGTATGTAGCGTAGGTCCCACGACTGTATGTAGCGTAGGTCCCATGACTGTATGTAGCGTAGGTCCCACAACTGCATGTAGCGTAGGTCCAATGACTGTCTGTAGCGTAGGTCCCACAACTGTGTGTAGCGTAGGTCCCATGACTGTATGTAGCGTAGGTCCCATGACTGTATGTAGCGTAGGTCCCATGACTGCATGTAGCCTAGGTCCCAAAACTGTATGTAGCCTAGGTCCCACGACTGCATGTAGTCTAGGTCCCATGACTGCATGTAGCCTAGGTCCCATGACTGTATGTAGCCTAGGTCCCACGACTGTATGTAGCCTAGGTCCCATGACTGTATGTAGCCTAGGTCCCACGACTGTATGCAGCCTAGGTCCCACAACTGTATGCAGCCTAGGTCCAACGACTGTATGTAGCCTAGGTCCCACGACTGTATGTAGCCTAGGTCCTATGACTGCATGTAGCTTAGGTCCCATGACTGTATGTAGCCTAGGTCCCACAACTGCATGTAGCCTAGGTCCCATGACTGTATGTAGCCTAGGTCCCACAACTGCATGTAGCCTAGGTCCCACAACTGTATGTAGCCTAGGTCCCACGACTGTATGCAGCCTAGGTCCCACGACTGTGTGTAGCCTAGGTCCCACGACTGCATGTAGCCTAGGTCCCACGACTGCATGTAGCCTAGGTCCCATGACTGCATGTAGCCTAGGTCCCACGACTGTATGCAGCCAAGGTCCCACGACTGTATGCAGCGTAGGTCCCACGACTGTATGTAGCCTAGGTCCCATGACTGTATGTAGCCTAGGTCCCACAACTGCATGTAGCCTAGGTCCCACAACTGCATGTAGCCTAGGTCCCATGACTGTATGTAGCCTAGGTCCCACAACTGTACGTAGCCTAGGTCCCACAACTGTATGTAGCCAAGGTCACATGACTGTATGTAGCCTAGGTCCAATGATTGTATGTAGCCTAGGTCCCATGACTGTATGTAGCCTAGGTCCCATGACTATATGTAGCCTAGGTCCCACAACTGCATGTAGCCTAGGTCCCACAACTGCATGTAGCCTAGGTCCCACAACTGTATGTAGCTTAGGTCCCATGACTGTATGTAGCCTAGGTCCCATGATTGTATGTAGCCTAGGTCCCACAACTGTATGTAGCGTAGGTCCCACGACTGTATGCAGCCTAGGTCCCACAACTGTATGTAGCCTAGGTCCCACAACTGTATGTAGCGTAGGTCCCACAACTGCATGTAGCCTAGGTCTCACAACTGTATGCAGCCTAGGTCCCACAACTGTATGTAGCCTAGGTCCCACGACTGTATGTAGCCTAGGTCCCATGACTGTATGTAGCGTAGGTCCCACAACTGCATGTAGCCTAGGTCCCATGACTGTATGTAGCCTAGGTCCCATGATTGTATGTAGGCTAGGTCCCACGACTGGATGCAGCCTAGGTCCCACGACTGGATGCAGCCTAGGTCCCACGACTGCATGCAGCCTATCTACTACCCCCTGAAATATAGACTGTCCCGTGACCTGTGGATTTCCCCTGTTTGGGGTAGGATATTATTCACGCACCAAATATTGTATTTATAATTTTTTGTCTCTATTAGGAAAGCAGGGTGTTTCAAAACTGGAGCAAGTTGGTACGTAACATTGTTGGCTTCTATCTCTCTGTCTATGCCCGGCTCTCTAGCGTAGTTGGCTAAACCGGATTGCGCGGTGACCGGGTGATGAACTCTTTGTGGTCCGGGTTCACTTACGGAGGTGGGCAGAAAAGCCACATTTCTCCCAGATGTATGGCATTTATCATGGAATCAAGGCCGAAAGGTTATGATACCCATAATACCGAGCCTAAGGGTTGACAACTCATGGCTTCTGGATACTAAAACAAACTCTCTGTCTATTTTACCATTGTATGTAAAGATGCTTCCCAGATATTTAAATTCTTGTGCTATTTTCAGACTTTGATCATTAAAAAAAAAAGCATTCACGTGATTAAAACTATTATTATTTTATTCTGCGTCCAAACTTAAAATAGTAGTTGGTACGCTGTGATATGTTTTACTACGGCTAAGCTGGATGTCTTCGCCTTTCGGCAAAATCATTCGCTTTCAGTAAAACTCCATATAGTCGCCTTTTACGACATGCATCTTTAGAGTGTGTGGGCTGTGGGTCTGTTATTGTTTCGGCTAAAGTGGGGTCTTGGGACCCACACTAGGATAAGAATATTAAATGCAATATTCTGAGTGACTAGCTGGTCTTGCTTCTTAACACACGTATCTTGCAGCATGGCGCCTACATGGTAACTATCTACGACAATTCACGCCCAGGTGATCTGATTATCTATACAGATGGTTCGGTGGTGTGAGGAAAGAGAAGGTTATTTTTTAGGAAAAAAAAATTGTCGGGCTCTGTTAGGACTTGAACCCACGAGCTTCGAATGTGCAGGCAAGCATCTAGTTACAGCATCGCAGTAGCTCCTTTCTTCGCATAGGTGAAAGGTCAAATGCGTTGCCTGCCTGCCAATGACCCCTAGAGTACCCAGATCAACTCCACAACTTCCTTGTGTATGCTAAAATACAGAAACAGACTAACTGGCAAGGAGCTCGCCCGGGTGGAGACAGGCACCAACCAGGCCGGATTTTTTTCCACCTGCCGCCACGCGACGGGTCTAGCAAGGCGGCAGTGGTGTAATCAACCCCTACGAAACAAGAAAGAATGAAGCACGTGAGGCTTTTTACTGCAGAACATCAGGGACAAATCCGAGTGGGAGACCATGTAAGAGATGGATGAAGTGTGTAAATGAAAGCTGCAAAAAAGAGATGAACAGATCTATCATCCAAAAAGCGCAAGACAGAAAAAAAAAACACACAAAAAACGAGGACACTGAGGCGACAAAAGAAGAAAAAGATATAAAACAGTAGTCCCTATACATTGTATGTATTTATAGCTGTCTGTAGGGACAGTAATACGCATAAATATACGGTGATTAAGTTACATTTACAAGTATGTTGACAGTAATAATCATACATTATTAAATTGTTCGCATTTTGCAGGAACATCAATATATATATATATATAATCGGGAATGGAGAGATTAGAAGACTAGGCCTGAAACTAGTAAAACAATTCATTGAAGAACAACAAATGTGATTATTTGGCCACCTGACGAGAATGCCCTGGTACCAACTGCCACAGAGAGCCACGCTGAAGAAATATAATGAACACAGAGCAAGGGGAAGACCACGCAAGAGATGGAGAGACAACATTAGGAGCAACCTAACAGAAATTAACACCAACTTGTACAATGCATTGGAAAAAGCGTACAAACGAACCTTACATTTCCACCCAAACACCTCGCTGAGGTAAATGGTGAAAGAGAAGAAGAAGTAGTAGAGGATGTGTGCGTGGGTGTGTGTTTGTGTGTGTAGGCGAAAGTTCTGGAGACATTTACGAAAGCCAAACAGACAGTTCAAAACAGCTTTCATGGTCTTTTACAATAGCTTTGGCTGACTGTTTGCTTAAGCTCTCGGTTCGACTGCTTACGATAGCTCTAGTTTAAACTGTTTACGAAAGCTCTGGTGTAGACTGTTTACGATAGCTCTTATCTTGACTGTTTACGATAGATCTAGTGTAGAGTTAAGGACAAATATACAACCACAGAAACATCCAACAGCAACTGGCTGCAGCATCAGGATGTACATCGACTGTTTACGACAGCTCTTATCTTGACTGTTTACGATAGCTCTGGAGTCAACTGTTTACGGTAGCTCTTGTCTTGACTGTTTACGATAGCTCTGGTGTACAGTTAAGGAAAAATATGCAACCACAGAAACATCCAACAGCAACTGGCCGCAGCATCAGGATGTACATCGACTGTTTACGACAGCTCTTATCATGACTGTTTACGATAGCTCTGGAGTCAACTGCTTACGATAGCTCTTGTCATGACTGTTTACGATAGCTCTGGTGTAGAGTTAAGGAAAAATATGCAACCACAGAAACATCCAACAGCAACTGGCTGCAGCATCAGCATGTACATCGACTGTTTACGACAGCTCTTATCTTGACTGTTTACGATAGCTCTGGAGTCGACTGTTTACGATAGCTCTTGTCTTGACTGTTTACGACAGCTCTTGTGTTGACTGTTAACGACAGCTCTTGTGTTGACTGTTTCGATAGCTCTGGTGTAAAGTTAAGGACAAATATACAACCATAGAAACATCCAACAGCAACTGGCTGCAGCATCAACATGTACAAGTCAGTGCTACAATTGGCTGTTCTTGATTAATTGGCCAGTCAAAGAACCGTACAACATTTCTTCTTTTTTGGTTTCCCCTTTGCTGCTGCAGCTGGGGTAGTTTCGACTTTGTGTTGGCTGGAAATTCTTTCAATCTCGCGGACCAGCCGGGTAAACACATCCACCACATGATCTCGCTCTTTGGCGTTGATCTCCGCGAAAGGACAGTTCAACAGTTTGGCCATCTCTGCTCCCTGCTCCGTTGTGACCTGACGCTGCTCATCCGAGTCCAACTTGCAGCCGACCAGCACGATAGGAACAGTGTTTTCTTTCAGCGCCTTCAGTTTGTCTAAAATTGTTTTCAATTCCTTGAAAGACTCGTCACTTGTGATACTGTACACCGCTAGAAATCCTTCCCCTAATTTATATTTATCTTCTCTCATGCGAGCAAACTCCACGTTCCCTGAGGTGTCGTATATGGTCAACTCAACGTCGTGATCACCAACCAGCAATGGGAAAGTGGCTTCATCTTCTACAGTCGGTTTGTAGTCTTCTTCAAATACCGACTGGGTTAGCTGTGTGATGATGGTGGATTTGCCAACACCGGCGTCGCCGACCACAACGCAAGTAACTTTCTTCATTGTGAGAAACGGAGATGTAACTTAACAGCCAGAAGTATGTCGGTCATTGCACTTTTTAGTTTTTATCCATTGGTCAGTAGCTCGGAGTCCTAGAGCAATTCTTAAAATACAACAAGCACCAGGTATAAACGAGCTTAGGAGCAACTATCCGAAAAAGGACGCACCTGATAGCTGGTACTTCTGAAGCCACAAACCAAAGACAAGAAGCACTTGTTAGCTACGAGTTTTCGAGAAACTACACAAAGACCAAAATGCACCTGAGAGCTCAGAGCCTTGGAGCAACTCTGAAAAGACAATGAGCACTAAGTTGCTGAAATTTTTTGAGAAACTACCCGAAGTCACGAATCACCTGCTAGCAAGGTGGGTTTGAGAAGCTACCCAAATGACAAAAAGCAGCTGGTAGCTGGGAGTTTTCAAAAGACTACCCAAAGACAATAAGCACCTAGCAGCCGGCTGTTCTGGAGAAACGACCTGATGACACGAAGCACCTAGTAGCAGTGAGTTCTGGGAAATCTCTCTAAAGACACGAAGCACCTGGTAGCTGGTAGTTCTGGAGCAACTACCCAAAGACACGAAGCACCTGGCAGCTTGTAGTTCTGGAGCAACTACCTAAAGGCACTAAGCACCTGGTAGCTGGTAGTTCTAGAGCAACTGCCCAAAGACACGAAGCACCTGGTAGCTGGTAGTTCTGGAGCAACTACCTAAAGGCACTAAGCACCTGGTAGCTGGTAGTTCTAGAGCAACTGCCCAAAACACGAAGCACCTGGTAGCTGGTAGTTCTGGAGCAACTACCTAAAGGCACTAAGCACCTGGTAGCTGGTAGTTCTAGAGCAACTGCCCAAAACACGAAGCACCTGGTAGCTGGTAGTTCTGGAGCAACTACCTAAAGGCACTAAGCACCTGGTAGCTGGTAGTTCTAGAGCAACTGCCCAAAGACACGAAGTACCTGGCAGCTTGTAGTTCTAGAGCAACTGCTCAAAGACACGAAGCACTTGGTAGCTGGTAGTTCTTGAACAGTTTCCCAAAGACACAAAGCACCTGGTAGCTGGTAGTTCTTGAACAGTTGCCCAAAGACACAAGCCACCTGGTAGTCCTGCAGCAACAGGAAGCACTTTATAAAAGTGAGATCCCAGACTGTCCTTGGCTCGGTTTCTGCGAGGATGTGACAGACTTACATCTTCTCAGTCTTTCTTCAGGAAGTAATTTCAGTATGTTTGCGTAATCATCGAAGCCTAATGTGGTTGTGTGATTCTTCGTGGGGTCAGACGAGACCCCTTTTAGCTGGGTTCTGCAAGAAAATTTGTAAAAATTACTTTAAAAAAATCTTTCTATTAGTAAGTTGATTCTTTATTTTTTGTTCACCCCATCTCAGAGAATTTGAGAGTTCCAGGGAAAGTTTAAATATTGGAGTGGTGTTACGGTGTGAAACGATCACCGACTAATTCTAACCGCCCCCCCCCCACCCCGACCCGCCCCCCTCCCGCCAAATCCATATTTATATTGCTGGGTTTTCCTAGAAATTCCCAGATTCACCGAGATGAGGTGGGAAGTTAAATGAAAGTATCTGCAAGTTTTTTAATGATTTCCAGACATTCTAGGAATTACTGGGGCATGGTGGGGTGGGGGTGGGGGTGCCTAAGGCAATAGAGCATGCGGGTGTGAGAGATTAAAAAACAGCTGACTGGCTGGCTGGCAGGTTACTGAGGAAAACATACAAGCACTAGAAGACGCTAAACATACTAAATATTCTCAGACAGGTAGGCCGATAAAATAGATCAAGCGGTAACTATGAACTTGTAACTATGAACCTGTGACTGTGAACCTGTGACTGTGAACTATGAACCTGTAACTATGAACCTGTGATTGCGAACCTGCGACTGTGAGCCTGCAACTGTGAACCTGTAACCTTGATCAAAATGCAACGACAGCAAGGGAAAAGCAAAAGGTATCAAGCTAAAGAACATTGCTTAAACCTGACATCCCACAATGTTTCAAAGGCTTCCGGTGGAGGAGCGCCCTGGGGAGGGCGCTTTATCCTAGGAAGAGGAAATGCAGCCTGACAACTTTGTGTTACGGCAGGGCAGACGAGGTCCTTCGCCTTGGCTGGTAGCCTGTCAAGGAGGGAAGCTCTGACAGGCGGACAGATGGAGCACAGCTCTTCTGATCCGGCAGCTTATTTACCCTGCCTCGTTCCAAACATACTGGTGTTACCTTTCCTTTGGAGTAAACAAGGCAGGTCGAGGAGAGATCAGGATTCATGGGACAGCATATGGTCTCTACAGTACGGCACAGGCTTTGTGCTATGGAAAGATTGCTGAAATCCCATGCTATAATTGTGGAAGACTTCTCTTAACGCGGGATGGTCTTGCCAGTCACACTCGCCATCGCCATGGGCTGTGCGTCCCATGAGAGCAATATAACACTATCGTCTGGAAAGACGGGAAGGTGCCCTTCAAAAAGTCAGAGAACATTTTTATGCAGGGTGCCAAAGTAAAATAAACTAACACAATATCAGAGTTGCCACTTTGGATGTTTCACATCCAGATTTAGATGGCGTTTTTGACGTTTGAAATGTAGATGTTTTTCTAGATGCTTTGCATTGGGAGTGAATTTATCAAATCTAACCTAAGAAACAGGATGAAATTTGACTTCTTAAATACTATCCTGACAATAACATTTGGCTTGATAAGAGTAGGAAAAGACTGTTCCACTTATCAGCTCCCTGATTGGGTATTAAAAGAAATTGGAACAGCTAAAGCATACCAGAGTCATTTTGGATCTGAAGCTTCAACTTCCTCATCCAAGCTAAGTTTATCCTGTGGATCTTGTAAGGCAGACTTCAGTAAAGATGAGGATATGATTCTATAGGGTAAGTCATATCAATTGCTTTGTAATTTGTGACTCTTTTCATTTAGGATGTTGTTTCTAGATGTTTTCCACGCAAATTTAGATCTTTTTAGATATTTTTTGACTCCGTTTTGGATGTGTGTGTGTGTGTTTTTTTTTTTTTGGTCAAAGAAAAGTGGCAACACTGCACAATATGATACGAGAGGATTTACTTACATACATAACATAGGAGAATGGCACTGCGAGGAGTTACAAGGGGATCTGGCTGACGCTCGACACTCAGGGGAAAGGCGAGACGGATATACAATCAGTTACTAGTACCGTCGGAATTTTAACTCTTCACTTGTTGTTGAAGATGGGGACGCAGCGCTTATGGGAGTGTCTGGAGTGTTTATGTGTTTTGTTTATGTTTATTTGATAATCATCATGTTACACAGGTAGCAATAACCCATAAGTGCTCTATTCAACTTTTAACTCAAGACTGAGTCTGAAGAATCTCTGCGCAGTGCACCGACGAGGATCCTGAAATACTTAAGGTAGAATTTTAACTCTACAGTTTGTCCGGACAGCGCCGTTCGGCTACTCTTTTAGATTTCCAACTTCCACGGAATTGTTTTTTTACGTGCGCAAGAATACAAACAGGAGTCCGGTCTCACTACCCTGAGACAAAAGGAAATTAATCGAAGTCCGCGTGAAAAAGTCCTAGCCTTCACAGGGGCTTGAACCTGGGACCTCCAACATTCGAGGCGGATACCTGTCAGAGACCTAATCTACACTACTTGTTTTATATGGCTCGCTAGGTAGGCCAGCTGACAGACTCTACTACCCAGACACACTCAAGACGACACTCCTGCTAAGTACAACCATAATCTTTAATGTACAATGAACATTAGACGTACAACACTTCAACTGGGCTAAGCAGCTCCCATCCGAAACTACCTTGGCGATGACAGCTTTACAATCACTAGTCACCCCAGGCAGCTCCCATTGATCTAGGGGAGCACGACTCTTAGCTGGCAGTGTCTCAGTGCCAATCAATCCGTCTATTGCCAAAACGGGACTTCAGCGATACACGGAAGGTGTATGGCCTAAGCGTGCCCGGGCAGTGTTATCGCCATTACAATGCGCGTCACCTTGATTAACTGCTCAAACAAATACTGCATGGAATGTCTACTACACAAAGAACCTTAACTCTCTATACTATCTAGACGAAACATTAAATACAAATACAGCCTATCATAGACACTAAATACGAATATCCTATTTCAACCTAACCGTCGCTACCCTACCGTTACTCGTCGAAATGTTTCTGTCCTGTCTCTCTCTGTCGATCAGCACACAACCGTCCTACACAACTGTCCGCACACAACTCCCCTCAAACCCGCTTGGACAAAGCCTTTTGGATTCCCGCCGAGTTCATGGCTCGATCCGCAGCACTCCGTGTCGGCTGAGTAAACTCGACCTGGCCTCTAAACTGGGCACGGCTTATTGCGTGGACGAACTGTCAGTTTACATACTGAGTTGTACTGAAGGTCAACTCGTACAAACGTGATGATTCACTATAGGACATCTGTTGTACTTCCCATAGCCGAACTGGCCTCTGACTACTCAGCCGCCTAAAAGATTTTGTAAAAGATGTCAAGAGTGTTAACCACGTCACAGTAGACGAGCAGGGTGACCTTATAATAGCAGTTCAAAGATGGCCGCCCCACTTTCGACATGCACCAAAGAGTATCAACCTTTTGTCATCCATCTTGTTTTTTTTTTTTTTGACAAATGAGGGGAGAAACCTATAAAAATTCATCAGCGAATGTAGGTCCTGCCCTATATGCCTATGCCCAGTACGTCTGAAGCCCTGGAAAAGGGTCAGGTTACCTTTACTGTTGTATATTAGGCGCACATGGCTTTTTGCTTCTTTTTCTTACGTAGAGACAAACAAAGATTGATCACCATATCATCATCATCATCATCATCATCATCATCATCATCATCATCATCATTATCATTTTCATCATCTTCACTCATCAACTCCACTACCATCATCATCATTACCAAAATACACCATCATCATCATCATCATTATCATCATCATCATTACTCATCACCATGATCATCATCATCATCATCATCATCATCATCATCATCATTATCAT